CCTCTGGTGGAGGAAGTGGCCTTTAAGGAGTGTTGGAGAAAGGGAGAAGAAAGCAAGCGAGCAAGGCTCAGCAGACGTATTCCTATTCCCTAGTTGCAAGAACAAAGACACAAACCAGTCTGAAGAACTCTTGACAAAACAAAGCTAAGCCAGAGCTAACTGTTAAGTCAGCAAGCAAAACCCAGAACAATTAAAAGCCGCGTGACGTTTTGTAAATGCAGGAGAAATTCACCCGTCAGTCAGAAGGGCAGGTTAATTTCTCTCCCATCTAAAAGCAGGCAGTGAAGGGATCAGGAGCATAATGGGCATTCCTGTCCATTGCAGAGGGCTGGACTAGATGACCTTTATGGTGCCCTCTGACCCCACAATGCCACAATTCCAGGATTCTTTTAGGTAGCTATTCATATCCTGGAATACCACCCAGGAGGTCCTTTTTCCAGGCAATGGTGGAACATGAAGGAGAACAACAGGTCTCATGTGGGGCAGGAGCAAAGAGGTCCATGAAAACTGCATGGAGTTTTGCGAGAATATGTCTTCCAATTTGCAGGTTTGGCTGAGTTTTGATTCCTGGCCAAATATAAATAGAACTCTGCCCCAAAATTTAATCCATTAATTTGCCCCTTACATATTACACCACATTTGTGGAACAGTACAGCAAACTGTTAAGACGAGGTGAAAAATAAATGAATGAATAATGAATAACCCTTATGAGCCACAAAGGGCCCTTTCACAACCCACATAGCCTACAGTTTATCTGCGAAGAGCAAGCTAGTCCACCCTGAATTTTATCCCATTTATGCTTTGTCTTAAGAAATCCATGGCAGCACACTCATGTTAGATACAACACTGCTCTGAATCTTAGTTTCTTTTAAGCCCTGTTTAACAAGCAATACTGGCCCGATTGGTACATGATGCTAAGGGATAAACCAGGATTTACAAAAAAATGTCACCGGAGTCACACCTTGCATGAAATTCTAACCACACAAATCACACCACGTCATAATGTGACATGCGTGCACCCAGACTTAGAGACCCTTCCTACTCTCTGTAGAACTGATTTTGCACGATCATTTCAGCTCCATTTTCAGTCTAATTTTGCTGAGATTTTAGCTACCAGAATTAGGATGCAAACATCCAGGTAACACTAGATGGCAGCAAAGCCATACAAAATCCTAATTCTCTGTTGCCACCTAGTGGGCTTCTGGATACTTACAGCCCAGATGTGACTGTCCCTAATTAACTCTTCTTAACCAAAGACCCCATTTTGTCCAGACCGTCCCCCAAGAAAGGCACAGCATACATTTTAAGATTTGAATTTTATTATACAAAATAAAATATCGTGTACAAATGTAAAAAAAAAAAAAAAGGCAAGGAGATTCTGCAGGAAACATAGGTATCAAAAATAGAATATTTCATTTGTTAAGTGACTTAAAAATGCTGCTTTGTGAAGTCAGTTCATCTCTGCTAACAATAAAGTCTTAAAATGTAGAGAAACCACATAGCAAGTATGTGAGTGAACTGCCCTTGAGGATTCAGACCTGCACGTTTGCGTAAAATCCATATCAACTCTGAAACAAGTTGAGAGGCTTATCCATAGCAGGGACTATAGCTGCAAACCTCAGACCATTGGTCTCCATCATTACTGTCTTCGCCTTGCAGTTTATTTTGTCATTATTTTTCCATCCCTTTTTAAATCACACCCGCCTTTTCTGGAGCAATTCTCTTAGTTTTAGCTACTCCTAAGTTTTCTCCAAACACCAAAGCATGTTCGAGTAACAGAAGTAGAGACGAAATCCCCTTTCGCCATGGAAGATTATTTCAATATACGATGACTGCGGCGAAATTACAATATGCACAGTAATGGAAAGATTCGACGTTACTCACTATGGAGAAAGTTGACCGATCTTGCTGAGATGGATAAATGAACTTCTTGGATTAGAGAAAAGACACTACCTACATTTACTGGTGACTGGAAACCTCTTATGGATTTTTTGCATAAAAAAGAAAAAAATGAACTTGTGATTTACAGTTTTGATGATTAGACAGGATAGATTACAGAAAGAAGAGTATCATGATGTAACTTTAGAGAGAGAGGTTAAAATAGAATTCTACTTGTAACTGCCGTGAAGAAAATCGGAAGGCACTTCTTCGTATCTTTTTTCTTTCTTTTCTATTTTTCTTCAACTTTTTTTCTCTTCTTGCAGTTTTTGCTTTCTCCTTGCTTTCTTTTTCTTTTTTCTTCCTTACTTTATATTAGCTTGTATTAGCTTTTATCTTCTTTTTTAAAAGTTTCAATAAAAATCATACATATATATATGTATAAAAAAAGAGACTAAATCCCATTCCATGGTCTTTCATTAAATAGTATATAAATAATACATCTAAATATCTCTCTGATATAAATTATCATTATTAGTATAGCAGTCTTTGCATTTTACCCCAAACAAAACTTCCAGAATGTCTGAGGAAGACCCCTAGGACAGACCTGGCCTTTTGGCTTACAGTCTAAAAGGTCACAAAAGTCAAGATGGCAGCCACAACGATGTAATTTAAGTCCCACCCCCTTTTTTACATGCTTCACATACAAAGGAGCAGGGCAGGGCTCTGATCACATGGTAGGGGCTGCCATCTTGACTTTTTGGGCCCCCTTTCCTCTCTTGTGGTACCCCTACACAAAAGGAGTGGGGGTTGGGAAAAAGAAGGCAAAGAAAATTCACACAATAGGATCAACTTCTTATACTACAGTGGTACCTGTAACGAACTTTTTGGGTTACGACCAGCTCCGGCCGCAAAAATTTACCTCGGTTTGCAAACTCCGCCTCGGGGTACGAGCAGGATACGCAGCCATGTTCCCTCCCGTGACACGGTCCGTGGCCATTTTCCCCCCCCTGACCCGAGGCCCACGACCATTTTCCACCCCTGACACGTGGTCCGCGGCCATTTTTCTGCCCCTGACACGTGGTCCGTGGCCA